CTCTGCAGCCCTTTTTCCCTCTGCTGAAACTTAAGTGTTCATCGGAAGTTCATGATTTTATGTGTATGGCCTTCTTCCCAGCCTGTACCGAACCCAGAAACATTGTGCTGCCCTGCAAGGAGATGTGTAAAATCGTCTACTCTGAATGCAAGAATCTCACTAATACCTTCGGTATAACCTGGCCTGAAGAATTGGAATGTGATAGGTGCGTCCAGTGTTATTTATTTTTTTTATTTATATATATATATATATATATACACAGTGGGGATCGAAAGTTTGGGCACCCAGCTAAAAATTTGTATTAATGTGCATAAAGAAGCCAAGGAAAGATGGAAAAATCTCCAAAAGGCATCAAATTACAGATTAGACATTCTTATAATATGTCAACAAAAGTTAGATTTTATTTCCATCATTTACACTTTCAAAATAACAGAAAACAAAAAAATGGCGTCTGCAAAAGTTTGGGCACCCTGCAGTTTTGAAAAATGCACTGCCCCCTTTGTCAAGCGAGACCTGCAGTGTCAATCTCAAGCATAATAGCACCTGACTGTGATACTCAGCTCCTTCCATTTAAAAACATGGTGAAGCAAGAGAATGGTCCAGGAAGACAGGTGATTTCTCTTCTATAAGAAGATGCAAAGGTTTTGTTAAAAAAAAAATCATTCGCAAATTCAAAAAAGGGCACTGTTGAAACGCATAAAAAAAAGATGCTGACACCTGCTGCTAAAAAAAAAAAAGAAGTCCCCTCCCAATCTGAAAAAAAAATTTGTCAAAGGTTTTAAAATGTTTCACCCAAAAATAAAACAAATCCCAGGCGTAAAAAAAAAAAAAAAAGAAAGTATGCAAAAGAAATAAGACAAACCAAAAAGTTGTGGATAGTGTTCTGTCTGATGAAAAAAAAAAATCAACGCTATGTTTGAGAGGAAAAAAAAAAAAAAAAAAAAAACTGTGAAGCATGGTGGAGGGTCAAATGCTTTGGGGCTGTTTTGCTTCTGCTGTACAGGGAAGCTTCAGCGTGTGCAAGGTAAAATGAATTCTCTTCAGTACCAAAAATATTTGATGCAGTCCCCGACCAAAAAAGGACAATGTCAATCTAGAAAAGGCTGGAAACATTTTTTCGCAATCTAAAAAAAAAAAAAAAAAAAAAATTGAGAACCTCTGGTGGGACTTAAAGAAAATGCCCCTGGAACTGCCCATGAAAAATGGGCGAAGATACCGTTGTCAAGCCCCAAAATCAGCACCAGGATGCTGTAACTAAGTACTAAGATAAAAGGTCACTTAAGCAGTTGAATAAAAGAATAATGAAAAAGTGAGCACGCTCAAAAACATTTGTGGTTATTTCATTATAACTGTTAAGATATAAAGCGTTTTTCAATGTCCTACAAGTGCCTCTGTTCAAGATGACTGGAAGATCAAAAGCAATGTCAAATGTAAAAGAAAGGGCAGAATATATCAGGAACAGTGTGGAAGTTAAAGCAACATCTGGAAGACCAAGAAAAATATCAGACATTCTTATAATATGAACACACTTTCAAAAAAACAGAAGAAAACGCAGGCATTGTGCAGAAAAAATAAATCAACTGCCCCCGTTTTGCCAAGCTGAGACCTGCCAAAACCCAGTTTGTTCTCAATCCCATCAAAAAGACCAGGTGATCTGTCAGACACTGGAGTTGTGGTACAATCTATTCTTCACTATAAAGAGATACTCACAAAGCTTGTACAAATATGGTCTTCATGGAAGAGTCATCAGAAAAAACCTCTTCAAGAAAAACGACCTCACTCGCAGGATTGTGAGAAAAACAATTCAAAATCACGTTTTGACACGATTTGAAAATCTGCAGACACATAAGTTGTGGTACACTATTCCACTATAAAGAGAAACAATGGTCTTCATGAAGAGTGCAGAAGAAAACCTCTTCTACGTCCTCACCACAAAAATCATCGTTTGAACTTTGCAAATGAACATATAACAAGATGCATTTTGGAAACAAGTTCTGTGGACCGATGAGGTTAAAATTGAACTTTTTGGCCGGAATGAGCAAAGATACGTTTGGAGAAGAAGGGGCACAGAATTTAATGAAAAGAACCTCTGTCCAACTGTTAAGCATGGGGTTGGATCAATCATGCTTTGGGGTTGTGTTGCAGCCAGTGTCAAAGGGAACATCTCACGAGTAGAAGGAAAAATGGATTCAATAAAATTTCAGCAAATTTTGGATGGTAACTTGATGCCATCTGTGAAAAAGCTGAAGTTAAAGAGAGGATGGCTTCTACAAATGGATAATGATCCTAAACACACCTCGAAATCCACGGGGGATTACATCAAGAGGCGTAAACTGAAGGTTTTGCCATGGCCTTCACAATCTCCTGACCTCAACATAATTGAATCTATGGATAGACCTTAAAAGAGCAGTGCGTGACAGACAGCCCAGAAATCTCAAAGAACTGGAAGACTTTTGTAAGGAAGAATGGGCAAAGATACCTCAAACAAGAATTGAAAGACTCTTGGCTGGCTACAAAAAGCGTTTACAAGCTGTGATACTTGCCAAAGGGGGCAGTACAAGATATTAACTCTGCAGGGTGCCCAAACTTTTGCAGACGCCATTTTTTTGTTTTCTGTTATTTTGAAAGTGTAAATGATGGAAATAAAATCTAACTTTTGTTGACATATTATAAGAATGTCTAATCTGTAATTTGATGCCTTTTGGAGATTTTTCCATCTTTCCTTGGCTTCTTTATGCACATTAATACAAATTTTTAGCTGGGGTGCCCAAACTTTCGATCCCCACTGTATATACATAATCAGGGGGATGGCTCTGTCAAGGAACCCTTTTTAGAACTGTGCATAATCTTAGGGCACACCAGTCTGAGGGCTCGTTTACACCAGGCGATGCATCTAAGCATGCATGTTGGTTTTTTGTCTTTTTTGTTTTGTTTTTTTAACATTCTTAAACATTGTGTGTTTAAATGGGCTGCTCTGTGTGTGTGAAACTCACAAAAAAGTGCTGGCGTGATTTCTAAAATTGCACCGCAGTAAAATCCATGGTACGCGCGTCATTGGTTAATAGGACACATACGGGCAGCCCACACAGCTTTCTGGGGTTGTCACTGGAGTGCAGATAGGAACAGGGAGAAGGAGAAAGCCAGGAGGAGGTGCAGGCTGTGCTCTCTCCCACCTCTTTGTATACAGGAGTTAGGACAGAACACACTCAAATTGGACTGTATAGGTAGCTTTTTGTCTTTTTTTTTTTTTTTTTTTTTTTTTTTTTTTTTTTTTTTTTTTTTGCTGCGGCACACCGGTTGACAAACACACTGGCTTAGAGAACGATTCATTGGTTACACTTAAAACAGGGCTCACCAAATTTGCGAGTGATATTTAGTAAGAAAGTTGGTGCTATAAAGGTAACTATCCCCTCTGACAAAAAAAAAAAAAATCTACAAATACACAGCAGAGCTAGATAGTATTAGAATTCATGCACTGTGTAGTGTAATGGAGGCTGTGTGCGCACCTATTTGAATAAAGTAGCGTATACACAAAGACAATGTTCTAGATTCACACTACCTGCATTCGGGACATTACAGGTGTTTGCATGCACTACTCTACGCATATAGTGGCGCATAGCTGTGTACAGCTGCCTACACCTATAAGTCCATGGGCAGCTGTACACAGCTCTAGGACATCCTGGGCACGAAAAATACACAGCCTCTTTATGCCGCATGGGCAAATGCATCCATGTGCATGTAGCCTTAAAGTACAGTACTGTATAGGAGCAGAAGAAAAACGGATATTTAAAGTCCAAAACTGTAATATTATTAGCATCTTCCTTTCATATAAAACTATAGTTTACAACTTTTAAAGATGTTAATGCATATGAAGTGCAGGCACCTCCTCTGACATGGCTGAATCCCAGGGTGTTCTAATAAGCCAAAGCTCTCGAACTTCTTGGTAGTGTGGAAGCTTGCCCATGACTTTCTATTGGCCCATTACTATGGTAGGGTTCCTTACTGGCCAATACAATGGCACAGAAGACAGGATGGGACTGTCATGTTTTGACACTAGCAGAAAATGTTGTCTTTTTGCCCAATCAAAATGGCCCATCTGATCACAATGGCTATTGTGACAGGGGCTGCAGGGTGCTGCAGGTATTCGTAGGCACCTCCTAGGTATCTAGCTAATAGCATTTACTACTTAATCTGGTGACCATTGTCCCTGATATGTGGATAAAAGTGAAGACAGCAATAAAAACCTGACAGGGGCTCCACTGCTTCCACATTCTATCTAAACTATAAAAATATGGCTATACATGCACTTTAGCAGAGACAATTATAGGTTCACTCTGGCAGATGCCAGCTGGTTATTCTGATGTTAGAAATAGTCGTGTGGCTTTTTTTAGTAAACCTCTGCATGAAAAAATGGCTGAGTTGAGTATAGCATCCAAATTACAGCTTATTTTCTGTTAAGGCAAACATCTGACCGATTTGCGCTTGCTGTTAACATTTTTTATTTACATCACAGTTCATTTTATATAGATACAATTATGTTTGTGGTGTCAATTCCTAACTTACATTGTGAAAATACGTGAATTGCTCTGAAAAATGAATATGTAATGATGTATCCATTGTTTCCATCCATTAGGCTGGAAGACTGCGCGGCATCAAAAACCTATGAAAAGGAGAATTCACAAGGCACAAACAAGCCTGTAGTCACTGTTAAAAGAGATTATGGATTTTGGTGCCCACGCCAACTGAAAACCTCTCAAGTGGCAGGATATAGGTTTTTGGGAGTAGATCACTGTTCTCCACCTTGCCCCAACATGTACTTCAAAAAAGAAGACTTGGATTTTGCCAAAAACTTTATTGGCATAATTTCTATAATTTGCCTCTGTGCCACACTCTTCACATTCCTGACCTTCCTGATTGATGTGAAAAGGTTCCGGTACCCCGAGAGGCCAATCATTTTCTATTCAGTCTGTTACAGCATTGTTTCACTCATATACTTTATCGGGTTTCTTATGGGGAACTCTGTCTCTTGCCATGAGGCAAGTGAAAACCTTTCAAGCACTGTGGTCCTTGGGTCCCAGAACAAAGCTTGCACTGTCATCTTTATGCTGCTTTATTTCTGCACCATGGCTGGGACAATATGGTGGGTCATGCTCACCATCACATGGTACTTGGCTGCGGGTCAGAAGTGGAGCTCTGAAGCCATAGAGCAGAAGTCTATGTGGTTCCATACTGTGGCTTGGGGCATTCCTGGAATACTTACAATCACTCTTCTAGCCATGAACAAAGTAGAAGGAGACAATATAAGTGGGGTCTGTTTTGTTGGACTTTATGACCAGAATGTGTCCACATTTTTTGTACTGTTACCTTTGTGCTTCAGTGTTTTTTATTGGACTTTCTTTACTCTTGGCTGGGATTATCTCTTTAAACAATGTCCGTCAAGTTATCCAACATGATGAAAGGAACCAGAAGAAATTGAAAAAATTCATGATCCGTATTGGAGTTTTCAGCGGCACTTATCTTGTTCCCCTGGGAATACTGTTGGTGTGTTATGTCTATGAACAATTATCAAGGTCCTCATGGGAATTGACGTGGGTAGCTGACCACTGCCAGCAATTTCATATTCCATGCCCATATCAGGTAAACATAAAAAGAGTAGTCTTTAGTTACATTAAACTAGACTTGTTCTTGATGTGGTGATCCAGGAACCTCTTCCAGACTTTGTAGTGAGATCAACCTCATTTTGTGAGCTACAATTAAAGGACAAGTTCACCTTTTAATAAATAAATTAATGCACTTTCTTTCTTTCTTTTTTTTTTTAACGTGCAAAAAAAAAGTGCACTTATTTATTTATTTTAGGACGCCTGGAAAGCATTGTACCAAAGATCAGCAGATCGCTGGTGCTATGCAGGTCTCCTGCAGGCTTTCCTTGTGAGCCGTCTGTCCGTTATATTGTACGGGCAGGCAGTTTCACACCGACAGGACAGGAAGAATCAATGAACTACCAGAGCTCTCAACAGCTCCGTGGTAGTTCATTGAGAACTACAAGCCGACCGCTGCAAAAGATTGTCAGTACTTATAGTTGATTCATTCGCAGAACTCTGTGAATGAATGACACAGCCCGGTGGGCGGAGCACCACACAGCCATGCTCCTTTTTTTTTTTCTTTTTTTTTTTTTGTGACAGCTGGTACATCGGCAAAAATGGGTGGAACATGTAACCTGTTCCCAAAGAAGAAACTGTCCTTTTTAAGTAACAAAACTTGATCACTACAATACCCCAGGCATGCTGTTTGAACAATGAGGGAATAGCAGCACACCAATACGGTAATTGTTATGCTTTCACTTATTGGGATCATGTTCAGAAAGGGCAAAGAGCTTTATTGGTCCAGAGTCTTGTCCCTCCTCCCGGTCTGAGAGCTGCTGTGCTGGGAATTACAGGAGGACCTCAAGACAGATTTACATAAATACTGCAGTTCTATGTGAAAAATAATCTGACTGTAAACAAATACATTCTAATGAATGGAGTTAAAACGTATTCTGTTACTGTCTGGCATGGTTGATTGCATGCTGACAGATTGTAGACCGAACAATTTTGTACATGCAGAGCCTTTGCCAAGCTATTCTTCTGATGTGAAATCAGTATTTCAGTCATATATTATGCAATTCTAGTACCTGTGCTCATTTATCTGGGAGAAGACAGCAGAGTAATGAGCCAATCAGTCCGCTGCTTGTCATTTCATTATCCAGTCACAGGGTGGGGGAGGGACAAGACCTGTAGGTGTTGAGTAACTACAGCAGAGCAAAGGTAGGTCTCCTGCCCTGCCAGGCAGAGTAGTGTGTAAATCTCAGAAATCCTTTTGGAGGTAAAAAACCACTCCCATGTTATTCGTTCCATCTGTGTGTTTAGCGGTTTGCCTAGAGCTCCGCTTTTAAATGTTTCTGATCATAACTATAGATAGATCTGTAATTTCTCTAGTCATCCAAAACTGTAAAATTGAAATTCTTTTTACAGCTAAAGAACATGGCCAGACCAGACCTGGGGTTGTTTTCTAACAAAGTATGTGATGACGTTAATTGTTGGGATTTCCGCTATCTTCTGGGTTGGAAGTAAAAAAAACCTGCTCTGAGTGGGCCAATTTTTTCAACCGGAGTCACAAAAAAGAGTAAGATCATTTACTTATTTTAGATGACGCCTCCTAAATATAAAACGTGAAGCTGTTGTAGTTATTGTAACAGTCTATGGTTATGGCAGATTGTTTTCATATACCGGGCAACAGTGCTGCACCACAGAATGATTTATAACTCTCATGTGCTAGCAGAAAAAGCTTTGCCAATTCCAGTAAAGCAGGCCACATATAGTTCAGTCTGGTTGTACATTTGTCAAATGGTGCACTTTCCAATCATACACAGGCAGTTGCATTTGAATGAAAAACGCAATGTTCATCAAGAAATTGCTGCATTTGACCTACTTTGCCTGCATTTGACATGCACCTTTTTAATAGGACATGCTGTGTCCAATGAAGACCAGCACAACACCATGCAAAACAAAATCGATTCAACTCCGTGGGATTTTGCTGACCTACCCTTGACATGTGTTCCATACGCACACACAACACTTAGGAGAAAGCCCCTCAACATGAGCCTCTAGATATGGTAATGACTATATAGTGGGAGGAACTTGCTAAACAGTCCTTTCCATGTATCTGCAGTCAAGCTAGGCCTTACACTACCCTAAATAGTTGTAAATCTAAAAAAGGTTGCACAGTCAGTTTGCAAACTATATAGACATCTTTTAGGGGGCATCGAAGCAGTCAAAAACTAGTATTCTCTCCCAACATGACCTATTCAATGTCCAGCCAGAGCTCCTTAAGTTTCCGCTAATGTTTCAGTGACAGGGATCTCGATGATTTAGGGACAAATTGTCCCACAAAATGTATACCTTTTTGATGCTGAAGGTTGCATGGCGTAAAATGAACTCCCTGAAAGATTTTACCCTCTACAAATTCGCTCTTCTCAAATACAACTCCAGCCTCCTTGATGCTAAACAAACCTACTACAACACCCTCATCAAAACTCTCTCATCCAATCCTCTTCAACTCTTTTCTACCCTTATTTCCTTACTCCACCCCCCACTGCCTCCACCCACCAACTTACTGCACAGGAGATTGCCAGTCATTCCAAGAACAAGATCAACACAATTTGCGATAAGATCTCCAGTGTCAAGCTTCCTCCTCCAACCAACATACCAGGCCCAACAACACACTGAACACTCTCCTCCTTCGGCACTGTTACCACCAAGGAAGTTACCAAACTCCTTTCCAAGGCTCACTTCACCACCTGTCCCGTGGACCCTGTCCTCTCACAATTATTGCAGCCTCCTTCCTGCTGTATCCTAAACGCTTTAACCCACATCTTCAACCTCTCATTCTCTATGGGCACCTTTCCCTCCCCGCTCAAACATGCACTGGTTACCCCATACTTTAAATTAAAAAAAACCCTTGTTGGACCCCCACCTGTTTGAATAACTTAAGACCCATCTTCCTGCTCCCGTTTTCCTCCAAGCGTCTCGAACGCCTTGTTCACAACCGTATGAACTGCTACCTTACTGACAACAACCGTCTTGATCTCCTACAGTCTGGCTTCCGCCCACAACATTCCACTGAAACTGCCCTACTAAAACTCATTAATGACCTACTAATTGCTAAATCCAATGGCCATTACTCCATACTCATACTCCTAGACCTTTCCACTGCCTTTGACACAGTTGACCACCCATTTCCTCCTCGTTAACTCCACTCCATTGTCCTCCGTGACTCTGCTCTCTCCTGGTTCTCTTCTTTCCTTTCTCAGCGCACTTTTAGTATCACATACAACTCCTTCTCCTCTCCCTCTTTCCTTTGGGGTATCCCAAGGCTCTGTCCTTGGGCCCTTCCTTTTCTCTATCTATCTCTTCTCCACCTTCAACTCCCTTTTCCCCCCCCTCCTCCACTCAGTACCTCGCTTACCGCCCACGAGATTGCCACTCATCTTCACAACAAGATTGACGCAATCCGCAAGGACATAGTCAACTTGCAATCTACCTCCCCATCTAGCCTCCCCCCTTCCATCACCCCCTCATCTCTCCCCTCCTCTGACCTCGCAACGACACTGCCCCCCACCACACCCAAGGCCCTGCCTACCATAACCCCCACAGCACTGCACTCCTTCAGCCCTACTACCACTGAGGAAGTCACCAGAGTCTTCTCAGAAGCCCGCCTCACTACCTGCCCCCTGGACCCTATCCCCTCTCAACTCCTCCGGTCACCCCCCTCTTCCCTCATCTGCTCCCTCACCCACATCTTCAATCTCTCGCTCTCAACTGGCGTATTCCCCTCCCCCCTAAAACATGCGCACATCACCCCCCATACTCAAAAAGCCCTCCCTGGACCCCACTGACCTCAACAACCTCAGACCAATTTCCCTGCTGCCACTCACCTCCAAGCTCCTTGAGCGCTTGGCCTACGATCGCCTAAGCGCTCACCTAACTGACAGCAACCTCCTTGATCCACTTCAGTCTGGCTTCTGTCCCCTACACTCCACCGAAACTGCCCTCCTCAAAATCACCAACGACCTACTAACCGCCAAAGCCAAAGGCGACTACTCTGTCCTCCTCCTCCTAGACCTCTCCGCGGCCTTTGACACAGTCGACTACCCCCTCCTCCTTAATAAACTACTCTCCCTTGGCATCAGAGACACTGCTCTCTCTTGGTTCTCGTCCTACCTATCCCAACGCTCCTTCAGCGTTTCCTACAACGGAACCACCTCCCCTTCCCTCCCCCTCTCTGTTGGGGTCCCCCAGGGCTCTGTCCTTGGACCCCTTCTCTTCTCCATCTACACCTCCTCCCTTGGCAAACTCATACACTCCCACAGCTTCAACTACCACCTCTACGCTGATGATACTCAAATCTACCTATCCACCCCTCACCTCACCCCCACGTTCTCTGCCCGCATAACTCACCTCCAAAACGACATCTCTGACTGGATGTCACTCCATTTCCTCAAGCTCAACCTCTCCAAAACCGAGCTTCTCGTCTTTCCCCCCCTCCCCGTGCGCCCCCCCCCCCATCCTTTCCATCACTACCAACAACACCACCATCAATCCCGCCCCGCAAGCCAAGGTCCTTGGCGTCATTCTGGACTCAAACCTTTCCTTTCAACCTCATGTCAAATCACTTACAAACACATGCAGGCTCCACCTACGCAACATCGCCAAGATACGCTCCTTCCTCACCCCAGACACCACTAAACTACTCGTACGCTCCCTGATTATCTCACGCCTTGACTACTGCAACTCCCTCCTCACCGGCCTACCCCAGTGCAAACTCTCCCCGCTTCAGACCATACTGAACTCAGCGGCCAGACTCATCCACCTCACCAGCCGCTCCACCTCTGCCACCCCCCTCTGCCTCTCCCTCCACTGGCTCCCCATTGCCCAACGCATTCAATTCAAACTGCTCACTCTGACCTATAAGGCCATTCACAACACTGCCCCTAACTACCTCACCGACCTGATTCCCAGGTACCACCCTACCCGTACCCTTCGCTCTTCACAGGACCGCCTCTTATCTTGCTCCCTGGTCTCCTCCTCCCACGCACGACTGCAAGACTTCTCCAGGTCCTCCCCCATCCTCTGGAACTCACTACCCCAATCCATCAGACTGTTGCCTTCCCTCCTCACCTTCAGGCGCTCCCTGAAAACCCACCTCTTCAGGGAAGCCTACCCCACCCTCACCTAACAGCCGCTGCCCTTCCCTTCCCTCCTCCTACCACTCCATCCCCCACAGCCACTTCCTCCTGTACCGCTACCCCCTCCCTCCTAGATTGTAAGCTCGAAAGAGTAGGGCCCTCTTACCCCTTGTGTGCTGTTTGTTTTTACTGTACTGTTTCATGTATTGTCCCCCCTCTATTGTACAGCGCTGAGCAAACCCTTTGGCGCTATAAACTCGATATAATAATAATAATCTACTACACCTCCTCCCTGGGCCAGTTGATAACCTCCCATGGCTTCTGATACCACCTCCATGCTGATGACCCCCAAATCTATCTTTCCACCCCCCAGATCACCCCCTCATTCTCCTCACATATCACAAATCTGGATGTCACACCACTACCTTAAACTCAATCTTTCCAAAACCGAGCTTGTAATATTTTCTCCCCGATCCCCCACTCATGACTTTACCATTAAGATCAACAGCACAACTATTGGTCCTTTCCCTCATGCCGGGGTGCTAGGTGTAATCCTAGACTCTGACCTTTCCCACATCCAATCACTGGTTAAATCCTGCCGCCTCAATCTCCGGAACATTTCCAAAATCTGCCCCTTTCTGACCAATGACACCACAAAACTTATCCACGCCTTGGTTTTATCCCGCTTTGATTACTGCAACTCCCTCCTCACTGGTCTACCATTACACAGGTTATCTCCCCTTCAGTCTGTTATGAATGCTTCTGCTAGACTCCTACACCTTACCAACCGATCAGTGACTGCTGCCCCTCTCTGCCAATCCCTTCATTGGCTTCCGCTAACCCAATGTATAAAATTCAAAATACTAACCACAGCATACAAAGCCATCCACAACACTGCCCAAAGCTACATCACCAACCTCATCTGCAGATATCGTCCAAATTGTCCTCTCCGCCCAAGACGTGTTGCTCTCTAGCTCCCTCGTCACCTCCTTCCACGCTCGCCTCTAGGACTTCTCCAGAGCCTTTCCCATCCTCTGGAACTCCCTACGCAGTATGTCCGGTCAACCCCCACCCTGTTGGCCTTTAGGGGATCTTTGAAAACTCACTTATTTAGAAAAACCTACCCCATCTCCCTCCTAAGAACTGTACTTGAACCACTTTCATCAGAACATCGCCTACAGCTATCACCTTTTGTACCACCTCCACCTCCCATTAGATTGTAAGCTCCATGAGCAGGACCCTCCTATTCCTTCTGTACTGAAATGTATTGTAATTGTACTGTCTCCCTTATATTATAAAGCGCTGCACAAACTGTTGGCGCTATATAAATCCTGTGTAGTAATA